TTTTGGAAGTTTTGGCCACAGCAATCAGGGCAGAAAAAGAAGTAAAAGGAATCCAGATAGGAAAAGAAGAAGTGAAACTCTCTCTGTTTGCAGATGACATGATCCTCTACATAGAAAACCCTAAAGACTCTACCAGAAAATTACTAGAGCTAATCAACGAATACAGCAAAGTTGCAGGATATAAAATTAATACACAGAAATCCCTTGCATTTCTATATACTAACAATGAAAAATCAGAAAGAGAAATTAATGAAACAATCCCATTCACCATTGCAACAAGAAGAATAAAATACCTAAGAATAAACCTACCTAAAGAGATGAAAGACCTGTATGCAGAAAAATATAAGACACTGATGAAAGAAATCAAAGACAATTCAAACAGATAGATATATACCATGTTCTTGAACTCAAAGAATCAATATGGTCAAAATGACTATACTACCCAAAGCAATCTACAGATTCAATGCAATCCCTGTCAAATTACCAAAGTCATTTTTCACAGAATTAGAATAAAAACTTTCACAATTGGTATGGAAACACAAATGACCCTGCATAGCCAAATCAATCTTGAGAAAGAAAAACACAGTTGGAGAAATCAACCTCCCTGACTACAAATTATACTACAAAGCTACAGTCATCAAGACAGTATGACATTGGCACAAAACAGAAATATAAACCAATGGAACAAATAGATAACCCAGAAATAAGCCCATGTACTTGTGAGTACCTTATCTTTGACAAAGGAAGCAAAAAAATACAATGGACAAAAGATAGCTTCTTCAGTAAGTGGTGGTGGGAAAACTGGAGAGCTATTAGAATACTTCCTAACACCATACATAAAAATAAACTCAAAATGGGTTAAAGACTTACATGTAAGGCCAGAAACTATAAAAGCTCTTAGAGGAATACATAGGCAGTACACTCTTTGTTATAAATCACAGCAAGATTCTCTCTGACCCACTTTCTAGACTAATGAAAACAAAAAGGAAAATAAACAAATGGGGCCTAATAAAACTTAGAGGCTTTTGCACAGCAAAGGAAACTATAAAGAAGATGAAACGACAAACCTCAGAATGGGAGAAAACAACTGCAAACAAAGCAACTGACAAAGGGTTGCTTTGTCAGTTAACTAACAAAGGGTTAATCTCCAAAATATAAAAGCAGCTCATATAGCTCAAAATCAGAAAAACAACCCAATCAAAAAATGGGCACCTAAACAGACATTTCTCCAAAGAAGACATACAGATGGCCAATAAACACATGAAAAGCTGCTCAACATTGCTCATTATTAGAGAAACACAAATCAAAACTACAGTGAGGTATCACCTCACGTGAGTCAGAATGTCCATCATTAAAAAATATACAAACAATAAACGCTGGAGAGGATGTGGAGAAAAGGTAACCCTCCTGCACTGCTGGTGGGAATGTAATCTGATACAGCCACTATGGAAAACAGTATAGATATCCTTTAAAAACTAGAAATAAATCTACCATATGACCCAGCAATACCACTATTGGGCATATACCCTGAGAAAGCTACAATTCTAAAAGACACATGTACCCATGTTCACTGAAGCAATATTTACAATAGCCAGGACATGTAAGCAACCTAGATGTCTATTGACAGATGAATGGATAAAGAAGTTGTAGTACATTTATACAATGGGATATTACTCAGCCATAAAAAGGAATGCATTTGAGTCAGTTGTAGTGAAGTGGATAAAACCAGAGCCTATTATACAGAGTGAAGTAAGTAAAAACAAGAAAAACAAGTATCACGTATTAACACATATATATGGAATCTAGAAAAATGTATTGATGAATGTAGTAGAGAATGGACTTGGGAACACAGCAGGGGAAGGTAAGCGTGGGACAAATTGAGAAAGTAGCATTGACATACATACACTATATGTGTTAAACAGATAGCTAGTGACAAGTTGCTAAATAATACAGGGAGCCCAGCTTGGCGCTCTGTGATGACCTAGAAGGGTGGGATGGGAGGAGAGGCAGAAGGCTCTGGAGGAAAGGGATATACATACAATTATGACTTATTTGCATTGTTGTAAGGCAGAAACAAACACAAAATTGTAAAGCAATTTTCTACCAATTAAAAATAAATAAAATTAATAAAAAATAGTATGTTGTTGGCACCAAAAGAGACACATAGATCAAGAACCCAGAAAAAAATCCACACACTTAAATGATCAATTAATTTATGACAAAGGAGACAAGAATATACACTAGGGAAAAGACAGTCTTTCAGTAACTGGTGCTGGGAAAACTGAACAGGTACATGTAGAAGAATAAAATTAGAATATATTCTCATGCTATATACAATAATGAACTCAAAATAGATCAAAGAGGTAAATATAAGACTGGAAACCATAAAACTCCTGAAAACACTCTGACATAAATTGTAGCAATATTTTTTGGCTCTGTCTCCTAAAGGAAACAAAAGAAAAAAAATTAAACAAATGGGATATAATTAAACTTAAAAGATTTTGCACAGCAAAGAAAACCATCAACATAATTAAAAGACAACCTACTGAATGGGAGAGAATATTTGCAAATGATGATAAGCAGTAAAGGGTTAATATCCAAAATATATAGACAGTTCATACAACTTCAATGTTAAAAAACCTGATTTAAAAAAATGGGCAGAAGACCTAAATAGACATAATTCAAAAGAAGACATACAGACAGCCAACAGGCACATGAAAAGATGCTTACCCTTGCTAATAATCAGGGAAATGCAAATCAAAGCCACAATAAGATATCATCTCACATTGGTCAGAATGGCTCTCATGACAAAGACATCAAATAACAAATGTTGGCAAGGATGTGGGAAAAAGGGAATAATGTTGGCAGGAATGTAAATTGGTACAGCCACTATGGAAACAGTACGGAGATTCTTCAAAAAGCTAAAGACAGAACTACCATATGATATAGAAATTCCACTCCTGGGTATTCCACTCCATTTTCCATATCCAAGGAAAATGAAAACACTAATTTGAAAAGCTACATACACCCTAATGTTTATTGCAGTATTATTTATAATAGCCATAGTATGGAAGCACCCCAAGTGACCATCAACAGATTAATGTATATACACACACACACAATGAAATTCACTCAGTTGTAAAAGAATAAATATTGTCATTTGCAACAACACAGATGGTCCTAGAAATTATTGTCCTTAGTGAAATAAATCAGAGAAAGACAAATTCTATATGTTACCACTTATATGTGGACTTTAAAAAAATAAACAAATGAATATGGTTAACTCCTCTATATACAAATGTTCAAGCCGCAACTTTCAAAACTGTGAATGCATGTCTGCATGTCCAATCATGTAAAGCTATGTCACATGGCTGGCATACGTTATCACAGGTCTGCATCCTCTACAAGTGGTTGTGCTTTTGTACAGTACTGTATAGAGAACAGTAATACAGTATCTTTATTTCAAGCCCAGGAAGTCTAGACGCAAGTGTAAAAGCAGTAGTGATGTAGCTGGTACTACTGTACTTTTCAAGGTACTGTACTGTCTGATTTAAAATGTTTTCTTTTTGTGTGTGTTTGGTTTTTTTATGTATTAATTGTGTGAAAAGTATTATAAACCTATTGCAGTGCTGTACTATAGAGCCAATTGTGTTAGTTGGGTACCTAGACTCACAGATACAGAGAATAAACCAGTGGTTACCAGAGGGGAGAGGGAAATGGGGAGCGATGATACAGGCATAGAGGATTAAGAGGTACAAACTACTATGTATAAAACAAATAAGCTCATAGGATATATTATATAGCACAGGAAATAAAGCCAATATCTGAATATAAATCTTAAAAGATTTATGGAGTATAATCTTAAAAGATTGAATCATTATTCTATACAACTGAATTTAATATAATATTGTTAACCAACTCTACTTCAATAAACTAACTTTTTAATGCTATAGTTCTCTGGTAAGTTTAGTACACATAACAAAAGCCAGTAGGGCTGTGTTACCACATGAGCTCATAAACAAATTTGCTTAAACAAGTTTACCACAGTAGACTCTGGAATCTGGCTCTCAGGGTTCAAATCCCAGCTCTGTCATTTGCTAATTGACCATGCTAAATAAGTATCTGCTGTTTTTATTGCTATTGGCATTTCTGTGTTATTCCCCAAGCCTTCTCGGATAGCCTCTAATCTCACGCCTCTCCAAAGTCTTACAGAAGCTAAACCAAAAAAAAAGTCTACAGATAAATTCAAGTGGCAGTACCATTCTTTCCATTAAAAAAATAAAAAAGCTATTGTAAAAGCAGTCAAAACTCACTCCTTCATTCCCCCTGTTTTTTATACTTTGCAGCCAGCATCAAGATGGGTGCTGTAGCAGCTGGGCAGCCTGAAAAGCAGGGAAGGGGAGAAGGAAAAGGGGATGCACAGTGTTTTGGAGAAATCAACTCCCCTAGAGCTCTGCAGGGTCAGACCCTGAGCATTCAATGGAAGAATGTATCCTTTATATATTGATGCGTTTTGCAGGTTAGCGCCCATGGCACTGAGCAGAGGAATGAAAAGGCTGTGGATGCACAGTCCTGCTTCCTAACTCTGAACCAGGTATGAGAGACGCAACTGGAAGAAAGATGAAACATGGGAAAGAACAAAGGAAAATAGATGTATCGTTCATAAGATGTTAAATGGATCCTTTAGAAACGTGATTTCTCTGTCATTAATGGATGCGCATTCTTTGAGAACACTACCTGTTGCTTGCTTGCTTGAACGTTCAAAAGGCACAGAAGTCTTTTAAGATCTGAATAGTCCCTAGGAGAAAGAATAACACAATGTCAACCGACAGAAGACTCTAGGTGAACTAGTTGTGTTACCCACTAGTAACATGGACCCCTGCCACTTGGAGGCCTGCTGTTATAGACTGAAACACATACACACTAAACATCTCCTTAGAACTCTGGGAAAGGGCAAACATTTCAGTGAAGACTCTACCCCGGAGTAGCAGTTGCCAAGGATCTACGCTGTGGTTGCTGGTCACTGCGTGAGTTAACAGTAAGCAAAATCTCAGTATGGTGTTACCTGGACAGTAAGCAAAAACTCAGTATGGTGTTACCTGGTGGTGACTCCTTGCTGTTTTTTATCAGTTGATTTTTCAGTGGCCTTCACTTTTTTGTCTTGATCAGGCATTGTAAACCATCAATGCCCCAGAATTAACATCGCATTCCTTTCAAAGTAAACTGGAAGGAAAAACTTTAGTTGGCTTGTGTGCTCCAAAATATTCTCAATTAATGCAAATTCACTTAAAACATTTATCTAAATATGCACAAACATTTACTTCTAATACAATAATAAAAATGCTAATATGGATAACATTTACTATTTATCATTCAAAGGCCTCTGGATACATTTAGGGCATAGTTTATAATTGTAGGTTTATAATTATAGTAGTACCTAAGCCTATATTTTCTGAGTCATTCTTGATTTCAAATATTCTGACTCATTACCCCAACAAGTACTTTTCTGCTTGCCAGGAAAAGTGTCCATATTTGGGATTTCCAAAATATTTATAAGCAAATACCTGAAGTCCCACTGACACTTTTATGCCATCTTACTTGTCTTTCTCGGTAAGTTTCCTTAACAGCATGCTGCTAGTTTAGGGAGCTCCTCTCTCATCGTGGGTCATGTCCCTAAAAATTCCAGAGAAAGCTCCACCAAATGCATTGCACTTGCAAATGCATTACAGTGGCAAGGGCAACACACAAAATATCCTTGGGTTTCCAAAATGCCTAAAACTTTCAGGCTGAATCCCCACATGGGACAACTCCAGCCATAACCTCTTCTGCCAGAACTGGGTCAGCCTTGCACAGTCCCTGAACTCACTTAAGCATCCTGTTTAAAACAAGACAATGGGCTCACAATCAAAATGGAGTCATTCATGCTAACCCTGTGGTCAACCAAACTATATTATAATTTCACCTCTCCCCAAGATGGAAACTTAAACTAGCCAATCAGGAATCTCCTGATTAGCACTAGTTAGGTAAGCAGCCTGATAAACCCTCCATCCTCTTTGGGAAAAGTAAGCTTGCAATAACCAATCTGCTTTTTGACTAGTATAACTTCTTCATTCCTATCTTCTGCCTATAAAAGTCTTTCATTTTGTACAGTTTCTTAGAACTCCTTTCTATCTGCTAGAATGTTGCCCAGTTCATTAATTGTTGAATAAAGCCAATAAGATCTTTAAAATGTACTCAACTGAGTTTTGTTTTTAACAATCCAGACAGTGGGGCATCCAGCCTGGGAATACAAGACAGTAGGCACCTCACTCTTCTGAATTAAGCTTTGTCATCATTATGGTCACCCTTCCTAGGATAAGCTTTAATACTACTTTCTACCACTACTCAAAAGGTTAGTATGAGTTCAACAATGGAGAATAATTTATTTGTTAATTAAACCCTTCTTTAATCAATTTCTGATTAAGTTGTTCTCGTTTCCAGAATAGAAACCAAAAAAAAGTTGATGATACCCATACTTTCAATTACATGGAACATACAAAATAAAACACTATTGGTTTAGTTCTTGATTGAATGTAAAATTTTCCAGTTGTACTTCAATACTAGTGCTTGACTTCAGAGTGTTTTTCAGGCATGAAAAAGTATGCATTGCTGTCTTATAATTGCATGCCCCAATGTGTTATAGAATTGATGGCCAAAATCCAAGTGTTTCAGAAGTACTTAAGAGGCAAAAGGAATGTACCAATGGGTGTTTTACTGCAACAGAATTGAGCAAAATTTAATTTTATAAAATGAACAAAGACAGTATATCTAAAGATTTAAAATTATTTTCCCAATATAGTTGCACATTTGTGACATATAGTTCAGCTGGAATTGAGCTGAAGACCAAGGTTCTCATCACAGATGCACATCATGCAAAGTACAATAACAGTATTTTAGGATTGTGCCCAGGACCTAACACCATGGATTTATTCTTTCAACAAATATTTATTGAATGTGTACTATGTTCAATCTCAGATTGAAAACTACTAAAGATAAAAGAGGCTATCTCAAATATAGGCTTCTACTACAAACAAAGAAAAACCCACTTAGGAACTTTAAACTATGTTTTGTGAGATATTCAGATATAGATTTGGTTTAGCATCTGTTTAAAAGAAAGAAAGGAGAGAGGGAGTAACAAAGGGCAGGAGCAGGGTAGGGAGGGAAAGAGGAAGAATGAATGACCTGTACATAATTTTTCAACAGCAAAAGATCCAAGTGCTTTTCATATATAAATATTAAAATGCCCCACAAGTTCTAAAATAAATGGAAATCCAGTCAAAATAAATATAATCTAACTTCACCTTTCCCTCAAGAACAGAGGGAAAGTTCCATACAGATATGTTTCTTAGAACTCCTTTCTATCTGCTAGAATGTTGCCCAGTTCATTAATTGTTGAATAAAGCCAATAAGATCTTTAAAATGTACTCAACTGAGTTTTGTTTTTAACAATCCAGACAGTGGGGCATCCAGCCTGGGAATACAAGACAGTAGGCACCTCACTCTTCTGAATTAAGCTTTGTCATCATTATGGTCACCCTTCCTAGGATAAGCTTTAATACTACTTTCTACCACTACTCAAAAGGTTAGTATGAGTTCAACAATGGAGAATAATTTATTTGTTAATTAAACCCTTCTTTAATCAATTTCTGATTAAGTTGTTCTCGTTTCCAGAATAGAAACCAAAAAAAAGTTGATGATACCCATACTTTCAATTACATGGAACATACAAAATAAAACACTATTGGTTTAGTTCTTGATTGAATGTAAAATTTTCCAGTTGTACTTCAATACTAGTGCTTGACTTCAGAGTGTTTTTCAGGCATGAAAAAGTATGCATTGCTGTCTTATAATTGCATGCCCCAATGTGTTATAGAATTGATGGCCAAAATCCAAGTGTTTCAGAAGTACTTAAGAGGCAAAAGGAATGTACCAATGGGTGTTTTACTGCAACAGAATTGAGCAAAATTTAATTTTATAAAATGAACAAAGACAGTATATCTAAAGATTTAAAATTATTTTCCCAATATAGTTGCACATTTGTGACATATAGTTCAGCTGGAATTGAGCTGAAGACCAAGGTTCTCATCACAGATGCACATCATGCAAAGTACAATAACAGTATTTTAGGATTGTGCCCAGGACCTAACACCATGGATTTATTCTTTCAACAAATATTTATTGAATGTGTACTATGTTCAATCTCAGATTGAAAACTACTTAAGATAAAAGAGGCTATCTCAAATATAGGCTTCTACTACAAACAAAGAAAAACCCACTTAGGAACTTTAAAGTATGTTTTGTGAGATATTCAGATATAGATTTGGTTTAGCATCTGTTTAAAAGAAAGAAAGGAGAGAGGGAGTAACAAAGGGCAGGAGCAGGGTAGGGAGGGAAAGAGGAAGAATGAATGACCTGTACATAATTTTTCAACAGCAAAAGATCCAAGTGCTTTTCATATATAAATATTAAAATGCCCCACAAGTTCTAAAATAAATGGAAATCCAGTCAAAATAAATATAATCTAACTTCACCTTTCCCTCAAGAACAGAGGGAAAGTTCCATACAGATATACTGTCCTGTTGGCTTCAAATTCTGCTCAAACCGTAGCTCTAGCCTATTTTAGAAACAGGATATAAAAGTCACAATGATTAGCATGTGAAAATGTGTGGAAAAGCTCATGGGCTTCTGAAGGTAGAGGACCATATCTGCCACAATCTTACTGCTAAATGCCTTGTCTTATTCTGTGGTTTAATCTCTGTGATTTTATTGACCTGGTGGGTGAACAGGAAATAATCCTCTAATAGTCTTATCAGTTTAAGATTAGCTTCTACTCTGTGAACTGGAAGAGTGAAAATAGATAACTCTCTAGAAATGCTTCTCTTAATTAAACAGTAAACAAATTCACCAGAATCAGAAGAAACAGGCAATTGCCTTTAGGACAAAAAAGAAAATCCTTTCCACTTGGTGGCCGTTAAAATGGAAACTATTCTGAAAAAAAAAAAACTTCAAGAAGTTGGAAATACTATAAAATATTTAATGTAACCCCATATTTAATTAACAAAAATTATTACACCATACCAAACGCTATTTAGATAGCATCACAGACTCGGTGGACGTGGACTTGAGCAAACTGTGGGAGACAGTGAAGAACAGGGCAGCCTGGGGTGGTACAGTCCACCGGTCGCATAAAGTTGGACAGAACTCGGTGACTAAACAACAATTGGGCTATAATTCAAAGCTGATGGGTGGGAAAAGGACGGTTCACATCTTCAGTCATTTTCAAGAAGCAAACACCTTTCTGAGCAAGTGTTTCTCAGAGATCAGGTGAGGGCAAGAGTCCTGCAGAGTTTGCCTCCGGGCCAGCATCTAAACCTGAGGGAAGGAGTGGTTGGTCCCAAGGGAGAGCCTAGCCTTCAGGGTAAGGCAGCAGGGCCCTAGGGGGCATTCCTGGGACAGACCCCTCCCCACAGAGCCCCTGCTGTCCTCCTCTCAGAAAGTATCTAGATAACAGCATTTGCTGCACATTCCCTGACTTGTTTTACAGATACTAAAACCACATTATAAAGAAGAAATTAACTAGCGGATGATAAGCACCTACTGGCACCTGAAGATTTATGATGTTAATGCCCTGGAACCTCACCACCAACCAACCACTGTGCAGGAGCTGATCTCAGACCCTAGAGACCCACCGACTCCCCACCCTGGTCTTTCTACACACTGCTGTATTTAAAATGGATAACCAGTGGGGACCTACTGTATAGCACATGGAACTCTTCGGGGTGTTTACGTGGCAGCCTGGATGGAGGGGAATTTGGAGGAGAATGGATCCATGTATATGTATAATGGAGTCCTTTGCTGTTCACCTGAAACTATCACAATATTGTTTGTTAACTGGATATATCCTGATAAAAAAAACAAAAAGTTTAAAAATAAATAAATGAAATAAAAATGCTTTGCTAAAAGGCATCAGGAAGGTCAGGTGTTTTGAGCATTAACTGCCTGGACTACTTGCTGGGCCCTGCAGTAAAGGCAGCACTGTCCTTCACCACGGCTTCTTGTTGTTTAATTGCTCAGTCGTGTCCGACTCTTTGCGACCCCAGAGATCGCAGCATGCCAGGCTTCACTGTCTCTCGGAGTTTGCTCAAACTCAGGTCCATTGAGTCAGTGATGTCATCCAACTATCT